TGGATTGTAAATTTGTTCTGTCAATACTATTATCTTTTGATTAGCGTACCTCTCTCTGGCGACATGTCGCACGCTAATTTAGCAATCCAAAGAGAGAAAGATACAGAGGCATTTCTCCGAGTTGAGTAAGAGGATTATACGTTCTATTCGTAATTGCGCGTTAGAAGAAGAGATAGTTGAGGGAGGGGGGAGGGAGAGAAAACTTTTTTCGTTTCACCAGAGAAGAATCGAAAGGGAAAGATCGGTCGTCGCAATGGTCGTTGACAAGGGATGAAAGGTGTAGGGAGCAAAGTGTTATTCCCCCGTTTCGCGCTTGTATTAGGACGAAAGGGGGCGAAGTATCATGCATATGCAATGTAATTACATTTACACCTCTCATTTGATAGTTGTGGTTGTACGCTACAACGAGTGTAACATTTCCTTTCCCGTATATCCGAGCGAAATAACGGATTTCCCCCGTATTTTTTATTTTCGGGGCGAGAAGAGGATTTAGCGACGACAGGCAACAGGGCAGCAAATTCCTATAATTTTTCGAACGGTCGAAATGCTCGAACGCTACGACGAGCGTGTTGCGAGGCGTACGCCAACGATCGAGAAAAACCGCGAATAATTTCCTCCGTTCGTTCGGAACAACCTCTTTTTTCTTCTCTCTCTCTCTCTCTTCCCCGAATATATACGTCAATTACACCGATTTTCGCACGTGCAAATCCATGCGTGATGACACTTCGAACTAGATGGGAACATCGAACTGCACTTTGGCATCCCTATAAATTGCATCTCTGACGAAGCGCGAAAAAAAAAAAAAAAGGAAGAAAAAAAGAAAAAAGAATAACGGGAAGGGAAAAAAAATCCCCGTTGATAAATTCGCAATGTCAACATCTTGCGGTTGGAAACACGGAAACTCGTCGTCGTTCTTATCGCGATCGATACGAAAGCTCTCTGGAAAATTTTTCCTCTCTGGTAAATATCGATTATATATCGCGTGTATCGAGAGCGGATAAATCCTTTCTTTCGATCTGTCGAATCTTTAATCGAAAGGGAGGAATAAAATATTCGAAAACTCGGAAAAGGGAAGGGGAAAAAAAAAAAAAAGAAAAAAGAAAAAAAAAGAGGTCGAGCATCGAGGTATTGGCCGAAGCCAGAGAAGCGTAGGAATAAAAGTGGCGGTGCGCGCGTACACGCGTTCGATGCCGAGGAGAAAATCAGTTTAACTCCCGAACGAACCTTTGCCGCCTACCATAGCTAATCCCAGATCTGCAGGCAAGTTCACGACGGGGGTGTAAACCCGAGAATGTTGCGGCTAAGCTAACCTCCCTCCGATCCCTCCCCACCTCTTAGTCCCCCATCGGTTGGTAGCGTTCCCCGCACGATACCTGGTGCGAGTCTAGGCCAACCTCTGGCTTATCCCAACGACGACGACGACGACGACGACGACGACGACGACGACGACGACACTCGTTCGATACCGTAAAAGCCTGCGCGAGGGGATGGACAGGAAGCAAGAACGAAACGGAGGAGGATGCGCTGGGAGATGGGGGGATGTTGGCGGTTGCGAGCTATCCTATCGCCCTCCTCTCCTGCCTGCCGGAGGATCGCGGACCCCCCGCCGTCAGGGGATCCCATAAAATAGCTCCACTAACTTTTTTACTTTATCATCCGCCAGTCCTCTCGCGAACCCTCTCTGTCGATATATACCTGCCTCTCTGTCCTATACCCCTGCGTATGCCACCTACCACCGATAACCACCACCACCACCACCACCACAACTAAGAAACTTGGCAAAAAATTTGCATTTCATCGCGTATAATGCGAAAAGGAAAGGAAGAGAAATAGGTGAAATGAAATACGAATCAACGGGGAAACACGAATTCTATCCTCGTTAGTTGGAAATTAACGACAAACGAATTTAGGAGGTGGATGAAATAACTTTTGATTCTTTTTCAAACGGGAAAAACGAAACGAAACGAGACGGAACGGAATAGAACGAATCGAAAAGGGAATAGCGAAAGAGAGAAGAGGATAAAGAGGAGGGAGAGAGAGAGAGAGAGAGAGAGAGAGAGAGAAGGAGGCGAGCGAGAAGAGAAAAGGATAAATAGATGGATAGACAGGGAGTCGCATCCACAGGCAGAGCTTTCGTTCCCGCTACCCTCGAGGATGATTTTTCGAGAACGCACGACAGCAAACGAACCTCCGAGGAAATCTTCGTGCTCGACCTGGGCTATTCCCTTTCCACCATGTAGACAGGACAGACAGGACGGATCTGCATTAACTATGGATTCACCTCATCCTCCTTATCCTTCCTTCGAGATTCTTTTTTGCGGTTTCTATCTTTATCGTTTTTTTCCCTCCCTTCCTCCTTTCCTCGCTCGCAACCGACCGTTTCTTCCTTTTTTTTTTTTCGCCCCGCGAGAACAATGGCAGATTCGTTCCGTGTACGGGCCGATAAGGTGTGTAACGCGCGATCGAGCGTTGGGGAACGCGCACGAATTAAAAAGAAAAAAAAAAAAAANANANANANATATATATATATATATATATA